AGTATATTTTCATTTTTCAAACTCTTTTGTACCATGTGAAAAGTTAGATCCATAATTTAGACGATATGTATTCTTACGTGTATCACGTAGCTGTTAATAATAACGTAATTGCGTGGGCGGTGAAATGACAAAATATGGAAGAAAATAAACACGATAAAACACTCTTTAAATTAAGTTTATTGGCGAATATGAAAAAAAAAAGACATTTCGGGTAACAGTCTTTCATCGGGTTTCTAGTTTATAGCAAACGGCTTTTTAGAAGAGATATACTAAAACCCGTTTTCTATTCACTGGAAACCCGATGAATGTCAGTTAACCGAATTTTGTTTTACTATTTAATTCGTCAATAAACTTATTTTAATTTAACGAGAGATTCACCTTTTATAATTAGAAGAGTACGTTATCCGTTGGTCAGTAGTTTATGCGACAACGTAGGGCACACTTAACTGTTTTAATTCAGTGGAAAAATAATGGCCTTATTTAAAAGACACAAGTGCTGTGTTATTTATTAATAAACTACAAACTGTTGGTGGGCATTATTTCTTCACAAAACGAGTGTATTGATTCTCTTGCTTCTTTCGTTTGCAGGTTCGTTCCTGTTATTCCGTAAAGATAAGTTTAACATCTAGGCCTTTTCTTTTTAACGGAACTTTCGCTACTAGGCCTAAATTACGAATTAAACTAAAACTTTTCCCAAGTGCGAATGTTAAAGTTTTGGTTTCTAACCTTGGCCACTTTCTACAGATCTGGCTCCCTTCAAAATAAAGATGTCCACCTGCATTACAACAGTTTAGACTGATATGTCTTATCACACACATTTTTTTGTTGCTAACCCCCCTTTTTTTTGGGTGGATATTGATTAATATTGTTGATACAATATGTATGATTCTGTTAATGGTTGAGGTATACTTGTATTGTAAGTTATACCTTCCTGTAGTTTTAAATCCGATTTGTTATATCATTTAATATATTTTCCTTGGCCACATGATCATCATTATGATGAATAAAGGAAGAATTGTCAAGGTTCTATGTTAATTTTCAGCACGTGAATAACGTAACACTTTTGAAGCTTTCTGCACAAGCGAATGTATGGTGTATTGGAAGAATATTAGCACACTGTCTTTACCATCTGGCGATGTTTGTGACCAGTTCATTCATAATGACACCGAAGTCTGCATTGACTAAAGCTGATGTACAATTTGAGTGGGCCGAAGAATGATAGAAAGCTTTCCAGTTACTGAATTGCCTTCATCTTAATGCTTCAGTATTAATTTATCCTCAGTCTAGTCATCCTGGATTAAGATGTTAGCTATTGTGACGTAGGAGAAGCAGCACACTGGTTCAAGATGACATGAAATCAGTGATGGTATATACTAGTGAGAAGTTGGGTTTTCAGAATATGCTAAGAAACCATCCGCAATGTAAAAGATCCTGGAAACTTGAGTTCAACTTCTCATTGTTAAAGATTGGTGGAGAAGGCGGAACTAGAAGGAGACTTGCTACCTAAAGGACTAGGTGAGCAGAATCTGGAGGACTTGCAGAATTCTTGGATGTGATCTGGTGAACTTTGCATTATGGAAAGACTGCTTTCCTCCATCCACAAAGATCCAAGTCAGGGCTCTCGTAAAACATTGTTATATACGGTGAACTGTTGATTTGTAAAGTTTAAATATAGCCCCATTTCTGCTTTGCTTATTCTAATTATTCTTAGTTTAAAAGTGTATGTTATTTTTAATATATGTGCTGATTTTATATTATTTGGAATATTAATTTTTATTCTGTTTGAGGTATTTTGAAATTTGGACTGTCATTTCAATGTATCTAACTATCTGATTTTAACTTTTTTTCAACCTAATTGTTCATCTTGATTTTACTTTAACACTAACTAAAGCTTTGCATTTTAATTTACTTATATTTAGTGTGAATTCTACTTTAGGTGGGTTTAGATTGCTAATTTTGGTTTAAAGTTTCAAACTCTGTATTTTGAGTTACCTTTAAAGGTTGACGTTTTATTATATTGTATATATGTATTATATTCTTACATAGACTAGCTATTTAAGAATAACTACACATTTTGAACATTAGTTCTAATTGATTTTGTTTGGTAATAATATGTTTATTGAATACGTTTTATTTCTGTGCACTCTTTATGATAAGATTGTGGCAATCGGATATTAATCATTGTCATGGTTAGTAGCCTTTTCAGTTATCTTTGCAGCTAATGACACGAACTGTGATTTGGGTGGATATTGGTAGGAGAATAGATCATTTATGCTTATTACTTACTGCCTGTGATTACATTTACTTTCTTGAGATCGTTCGAATCAGAATGAGCCTATCTCTGTCTCTTTTTATCCTTTGTCCTGTAGAGACATACTAGGAAGTCTCTTCTTTATACCAGCAGCCACTATAGTCATTATTCATAAAACATCCTGTAGAGACATGTTAGGAAGTCTCTTCTTCATACCAGCAGCCACTA